GGTGACGGTGGCGGTGGCGGTGGCGGTGGCGATGGCGTGTGCTGGTGTGGGTGTTGGTGTTGGTGTTGGTGTTAGTGTTCATTCTGCACTCCTGTCGCTTCGTTTCAGCCTCAACAGAGGAGGTGCAAGAGGAGGCCGTGGAGGAGCTGAAGCCGACGATGCCAGAGGAGATGAAGGTGGAGGAGGAGAAGAAACCGGTGGCAATGCCTGAAGTTGCCGAAGTCGAGGTGGAGAAGGCACCTGAAAAGATGTTAGGTGAGCAACAAATGCCCCTGGTTCTATGCATTTGCAAGGTTAGCGCGTTCTCAGTAGTAGTGTTATGGGAAGGAAGGAAGACAATCGCGCAGTGGCGATAGTGTGTTGATAGGAATGGTTGGGCTGTCGTGGTGGTGAGTAGTGACTGGGGTGTGTTGGTGGGCAGCTGGCAAGTGCTTGGCTGCACGCGCAGTTTAAGTAGGAGGTGTTTTAACTGGGGCGCCTTTTTGCCTACTAGCTGCTGTAACGTTTTTTCTTTTATACCTTCTCCTCTACTCGGTATCTTCTAAACCCAATTCTTTCCTATATAATTTCCTTCTTCGCTATGGTGCTATGCGTCGTCTTCCAACATCCAACCTGAGTGTCTTGGAACATACCTCTCATTCTACCAGAATATCAGCCGCCAAAATCAAAGACACACACACACACACACACACAATCCGCCTCATCCTCCTCCTCCTCCTCCTGCTCGTCTTTCACAAAGTACACATCCACCGCCACCGCCACCGCCACCGCCACCGCCACCAAGACAGACACCGCCACTAATACCAAGCATCACCATCACCACCGACACCACATCATCATCCTCCTGCTCCTAGTGGATGTCTGGTTGCCTTCCTGGTGTCCGTGTTGCCACTATTCTCTCACAAGTGCCCTTCTGCACTTTCAGGTCCACCTCCAACACCCATCAACGTTGAGGCCACTCTCAATCCCAAGAGTGCCAAACCCACCGATCAGACCATCGAACTGACTTGGGAACTGCCAGCAGACAAGCCTCTGCCCAAAGACGTGATGAATGAGTACACTGTGGAGATGAAGCCGAAGGATAGTACTCGCTGGCAGGAAGTTCCTCTGCCTACGAAGGTGACCGAGACCCACTGTACCCTACGCACCGATGGCATGAAGGAGTTTGTTGACTACGAATTCCGCGTCACAGCCATGAACAAGGCCGGCAAGAGCAAGCCCTCGGAGCCATCCAACAGTGTACAGCTAGGTAGGTCTGGCTTTTCATTCTCTCATCTGACTACCCCTACTCCTCCTCTTCCTCCTTCTCCTCCTCTCCACCCTCACCCCTTCCCTTCTGCTTCAACTCACTCCTCCAGCCATCCTCACACACACACACACCCACACATACCTATATATGTAACTATGCAGATGTTGCATATTTGCGCAGCCCACCCACCCACGCACTGCCCTGCCCTGCCCTGCCCTCCTCCCGCAAGCACACACATACCTGCCTAGAGTAGAGGCATTACACTCAGCACCCCCTCATTGCCACCCCCCTCTCTCCCTCTCGCTCTGTCTCTGTGTAGGCATTCCACTGGAATTTGTGCGAGAACTGCCGGAAATAGTGTTGACGCAGGCGCCAACCGAACCCGTCTCCTTGGAATGTGAACTCTCCAGACGTCCACGTGAGCCAGTTAAATGGCTGAAGGATGGCAAGCCACTGCCCATGCGTTTGCCGACTCACATTGCTATTGAGGAGGACAAGGGCTGCACTGTGCACCAAATCAACTTTGCAAAACTCACCGACGAAGACCTGGGTCAGTACACAATTCAAGTGGAGAATATTGCCAGTACCGGTGGCGTGCAGATGAGGCGTAAGTCCTTCTCTTTCAATGCATGCTTCATCTCTCGCTGTTTCTCTCTCTCTCTCTCTCTCTCTCTGCCCAAGTCCTTCTGAAATCCCGCCTGCCAACACCACCACCACCACCTCCCCCTCCTCCCCCGCCTACTTCAGGGAGATTTCGGAATGCTGTGGCATGCAGAGGGACACTATAGATGGAGGGACCTTCCAGAGTGGGCGGCTATGCAGTGTCAGAGCGATAAGGGAGGCTGGTCATGCATGCGAGGTGTGTTGCAATGAGATGCGGTTTGTGTATGGATTGGGAGTCAGCACGTATGCATGTATGTGGGTGGGTGGGTGGCAGGGGAAGGGAGGGAGGGAGGGAGGGAGGTCTGGTGAGGCAGCACATCAGGCAAGCTGAATTGCAACTGNCCTCCTCGTCCTGCTCGTCTTTCACAAAGAACACATCCACCGCCACCGCCACCAAGACAGACACCGCCACTACTACCAAGCATCAG